TTCGGATTGGTGCAGCTCCAACCGTTGCGGCAATCTGGGGAGTGAACCAATGGTTCCAGCCCAAGAAATGTATATCTTAAAATGGCCGGCGCTGCGGCTCAATAGGCTAATCCTCTGCCTGTGGCTCCAGCACTCCGGGTTCTAGTCCCGGTCGGGGGGCTGGATTCTGTCCCGGTTGTTCCTCTTCCAGTCCAGCTCTCTGCTGGAACCAATGGAAAAAGGAAGACCTTTTTCTAAGTCTCTCTCTCTCACTGTCCACTATGCCTGTCAAAAACAAAACAAAAACGAAAACAAGAAATGTATATCTTAAAATGAATATATTACAAAAGAAAAGCTAAAATTCAAGTATGTTCATAGGCATTCATATAAAAAAAAGAAAAAGTAGAGGAAGTAACTTCCCTCCAAAAAACAGAACAATATAAAATCACAATTCAATGAAACAATAAAGATACATTCACTAAAAAGCCACTGTGAAACTGTTCAAAGAAAAAAAAATGAATATACAGATGAGCAATATCTGGAATGACCTAATAAGACAGCAGATACTGTAGTAACTTTTTGCCAATAAATTTAAGAAATAAATTATTTTGAGATAAAATGGACAAATTCTAGAACAACTTATCCAAATTGGTACAAGAATGAATAAGAAATCTAAGAAATTTTATGACTAACAAAGGAATTAATTTCTATTTTAAATCTTTTCACAAAGAAATCTAGATAGCTTCATCAACAAATCCTACCAAATATTTCGGGAAAAACAAAAGATCAAAACCACCAACCTTACACAAGCTCTTCCAACGACAGAGAAAGAAGGAATCTTTAAGTTTAAAAAAAAATGATTAAAATTTGATAAGTATAATTGACAAGGATAGGACTTGAGAGGAAAATTATGGTTATCTCATTCGTGAATTTAACTGCAAGAGATATGAACAAATTGAATCCACTCATTTACAAAACAAGTGTAATTATCACTAGCAAACTGGATTTAGTACTGGAATGCATGGTGGTTTAACATTTAGCAATCAGTAAATGCAATCTGTTACATAAAAAGGTTAAAAAAGAAAAATCACATGATCATCTTAGTGTTGAGTTTTAGTGATAGTATTTTTCAAATCTATTTGTCATTAGTCACAATTGATAGCACTATAATATGTACAGAGGCTAAAATACTTATGGATATATTAATAAAGTGAGTATAACAAAGTTGTTTGATACAAGGTCAGCTGTATTTCAATTACTTGCACATATCAGATGTATTTCCATATGCTAATCAAAACTAGAAAATAAAAATATAAAGTTAACAATTATAACAGCTTATAAAAGTATAATATATATGGGAGTAAATCTAATAAATATATAGAGGAAATCTTTGCAGAAAATTATATAGCATTATCCAGAGACACTGGACCTAAATAAATAAGAAATGCAATGATCATAGTTTGAAAAACTCAATATTACAACAAAGTTATCTCAAATTGACATATAAATCAAAAATATTCTAATCAAAATCCTAATAAAGGGGAATATTTACTCTTCTAGGTACCTAAACTTACAATGCTAAAACAATAAGAAAATTTGATATTGGCACAAAGGTAGACAAATAGACTAAAGGAAAACAAATCTAGAAACACATGTACATAACAAAGGGACTTGGTTATGACAAAGATGATGGCAGAAAGCAGTGGAGAAAAAAATGATCTTTTCAAAAACTGAAACTAGGTTAAAGGTTATCCATATGAGAGAAAAGAAACTTAATCCCCACCTATAAAAAGCACAAAATCAACTCTAGTTTTAAATGTGACAATAAAATGACAAAGCCCAATAACAGCTCTGTCCAACAGAATTTTTTTTAAAGATTTATTTATTTATTTGAAAGTCAGAGTTACAAAGAGAGAGAAGGAGAGGCAGAGAGAGAGAGAGAGAGAGAGAGAGAGAGGTCTTCCATCTGCTGGTTCACTCCCCAATTGGCCGCAATAGTCAGAGCTGTGCTGATCCAAAGCCAGGAACCAGGAGCTTCCTCTGGGTCTCCCACGTGGGTGCAGGGGCCAAAGACTTGGGCCATCTCCTACTGCTTTCCCAGGCCATAGCAGAGAGCTGGACTGGAAGAGAAGCAGCCGGGACGTGAACTGGCATCCATATGGGATGCCAGCACTTCATCTATTGGGGGATGGCCCCCAACAGAACTTTCTGTGATGATACAAGTGTTCTCTATCTACACTGTCCAGTACAATATGGCAGTCACTAGTCACATATGGTTACTGAGTGCTTGGAGTGACAGTACAACTGAGAAGGGGAATTTTAAATTTTATTTCATTTTTTAAAGATTTACTTGGCCAGCACCGCAGCTCAATAGGCTAATCCTCTGCCTGTGGCGCCGGCAGTCCGGGTTCTAGTCCCGGTCAGGGTGCTGGATTCTGTCCTGGTTGTTCCTCTTCCAGTCCAGCTCTCTGCTGTGGCCCACGAGTGCAATGGAGGATGGCCCAAGTCCTTGGACCCTGTGCCCACATAGGAGACCAGGAAAAGCACCTGGCTCCTGGCTTCGGATCAGCGCAGTGCCCTGGCTGCGGTGCGCTGGCCACAGCGCGCCGGCCACAGCGCACCGGCCACAACGTACCGGCAGCAGCGGCCATTGGAGGGTGAACCAATGGAAAAGGAAGACCTTTCTCTCTGTCTCTCTCTCTCACTGTCCACTCTGCCTGTCAAAAAAAAAAAAAAAAAAAAAAAAAAAAAAAAAAGATTTACTTGTTGGGGTTGGTGCTGTGGCATAATGGGTTAAGCAGCCACCTGCAGTGCCGGCATCCCATATGGGCACCAGTTTGAGTGCTGGCTGCTCCTCTTCTATCCAGTTCTCTGCTTATGTCCTGGGAAAGCAGTGGAAGATGGCTCAAGTTCTTAGGCCCCTGCTCCCTCAAGGGAGACCAGATGAAGCTTCTGGCTCCCGGCTTCAATCTGGTCCAGCTCCAGCCATAAGGCCAGTGAACCAGCAGAGGGAAGACTCTCTCTCTGCCTCTGCCTCTCTGTAACTCTACCTTTCAAATAAATAAATAAACACATCTTTTCTAAATTTATTAAAGAGAAAGATCTTTTCTTCTTTCTTGTATTAGTCTCCATCTGCTAACACCTAGACTGACAGTTATTTTTCTACTGACTGCTCTTTAATTAAAAAAAAAAAAAGTCACACTACCTGTTTCTTTGCATGTCTAAAGTGTGTGTTTGCATATCTTATTTTACCTTTATTTGTTTGACACAGACAAGAGATACGCAGAAAGTCAGAGAGAGAAATAGACAGGCAGGTAAACAGAGCTCCAGTCTGCTGGTTCATTCCCTAACCGCTTGCAATGGCCAGGACCGGGCCAAGCTGAAGCTGGGAGATATGCACAATACCCTCAATCCAGTTCTCTCGTGTGGGTGGCAAGGAACCCACTTGAGCCATTGCCTGCTGCCTCCCAAGGTGTGCATTAGTAGGAAGCTGGAATTGGCAGTGGAGCCAGGAACGGAACCCAGGCACTGACCTATGGGATGCGGGCGTCCCTAGCAGCATGTTAACTACTAGGCCAGAGCCTGCCCCTCTGCGTTTTAGTTGTATGCTGTACGCTGTGGGGGATACGATGCAGAGATTCTGGGTTTTTTGACTCTCTCTAAAATGGTTGGTTTTTGTCCTCGTAGGCAATCAATGACTAGCTGATCTCCTTGAGCTTGTACAGGCTTCATTCTGTGCTTTTTGGCAAAAATAAGTAGAAACTAAGGTGCTTCTCAAGCTCCTCTCACTCTCTAAGATGTCTCCTCTGAAGAACTGTGTCAGGGCTTGGTTTAGGTTTTGGTTATGACGGGTCTACCTAGAGTGGGCCTTATTCCACCTAGGGCATGGCTTTTTTTGCTTTTTTTTTTTTAGATTTATTTGAAAGGCAGAGTGACACACACACACACACATACACACACATACAGAGAGAGAGAGAGCACCTGGAACTTCATGTGGGCCACTCTCCTATGTGGGTGCAGGGGCCTGAGTACTTGGGCAGTACTTTATACTGTCATAAAGAAAAGGGTACCCCAAGAGTGGGCAAGAGACCCTAACCCTAACCCTATGTCAGAAAAAAGGATATTCAAACATCCAATTAACACTTGAAAAACAAAACCGGGAAGTCTCTACAATGACAGAGAACTGCACAGCCATCAGCATGACTAAGATTACAAAGGCTGACAATGCCACAAGGCCAAGTGCTAGTAATGGTGTGGAACAAAGAGAAATTGCTGTTACTGCTGGCAGGGCCATGTATGGATGCAAACACCTTGGACAAAGTTGGCATCATCTATCAACATGAGAATACAATGAGAACCAGCAACTGTACAGCTACAATCCCATACACCTAACAGAAATGTGTAACAGGTGTATCAAGAGAACATTCACCAAGCACTGTTTGTGACAGTCAAAAATGGTAAACAATACAAATATTTGTCAAAAGTAAAAGGGAGACACTGTTATTTATTAATACAATAGAGTACCACATCTCACCAGTGTGGCAGACTTCCCCCAATTGCACCCCAACTTTCTCTCCACCCCTCCTGCCATGCTGAAGCAGAGTGAAAGAATGGATGGCATCGAGAGTAGTGAGATGGTTGTTATGAAAGAAGTGAGATACCCTTTCTCTAAGACCAGAGACCAAGTAAGAAACTAAGATGCAGGGGTAGTTAGGTATTTGATGAGAGTCTTTTAATCTTTATAAAGTATGAGGCAAGGATAAAGGATAGACTCAGCAAAACTAAGATTTCCCTCCCCACCCCCATTTTTCAGTCTTATTAGTAACACACAAATAAAAGTGAAATTCACGGTTGTTATTAAAATCAATATTTTTAATTGTTCCATAAGAATCTTGTATTTGCAACACTAATATAGGACAAAGCTTTATCTAGTCCTTGCAGCTAAAACTAAGAGCATGTAAGCAGTATTTATAAATGAAATGAACTGAAATATTCACAACACATAAAGAAGTAATACTTACTTGGCTGACATGTACTGGTGTTAGAATTAAGTCCAGCACTCCAGACCAGCCAGCAAATACGCCAAATGGTATGGCATATGCTAAAGCAATCATCAAAAATCTCAAATTGCTGTAAAAGAGAGATAAAATAAAACAATTATAAACCAAAAATCTAGAATTTGAAACTTACTCATGAAAAAGGTAAGGCATTTGGAAACTGAAACTGTTAATGAATTCAACCTCCAGAGGCAGGTATTGTATTGCAATGGCTTAAGCAGCTGCTTGGGATGCCTGCATCCCTTATCAAACCTGGGTTTGGGTCCCATCATCCAGTTTCCTGCTAGTGTGTACCCTGGAAGGTAGCAGATGATGGCTCAACTGTTTGGGTTCCTGCCACCCATGCGGGAGACCCAGATGGAGTTCCTGGCTTCTGGCTTTGGCCTGGCCCAGCCCAGCAGCCTGGTGTGGGTATTTGGGGAGTGAAGCAGCTGACAGATGGAAGATCTCTGTCTCTATTACTCTGCCTTTCAAATAAAAAATAAACTTAAAAAATAAATTCAAGCTTCTTTAAATATTTTTCAAGAATATTTTTGTTCAAATTTTTTAAAATGCAATTTTATTTTATTATATCGACAAATTAGCATCACTGTATTATGGAATGAGTAGGTGGTAGGGAATTCATTTAAAAAACAAAAAAGCTCTCATTTGAAAGGAAAAATTACTATTTTTCCTTATGAATAAGACAGAGAGGATAACCTAAGATTAAAGACATACATATAATATGCTAGCTTAGGAAATGGCTTTTATTTTTATAATTTTAAAGGTTTATTTACTTATTTGAAAATCAGAGTTATAAAGAAGGAGAGAGAGAGAGAGATCTTCTATCTGCTGGTTCACTCCCCAGATGGTCACAACAGCCAAGGCTGGGCCAGACTGAAGCCAAGAGCCAGTAGCTTCATCTGGGTCTCTCACGTGGGTGTGGGGGCTCAAGCACTTGGGCCATCCTCCACTGCTTTTCCCAGAACATTAGCAGGAAGCTGTATCAGAAGTGAAGCAGGTGGGTCACTAACCAGCGCATTATTTTTGTTTTATTATTAAAAGTCTATATTAATGCATTTTTCAATAGGCATTACTATTCAAATGGCTCAAAACTAAAAAGTTATGAAAATATGAGGGGAAAGTTGTTTTCTTACTCCTGTTTTCTCCTTCTCAAAATTACAAGTGTTACCAGTTTCTTGGGTAACTGCCCAAAAATACATCATAAATACACAAGCTAGTAAAAATATATAGACATATGTGCTTTCCCAGGCTTTTTATAAAAATACTGCATTCGAGCATTTGTGAACTTCACTGCAATTTTAATGCAATAGATCTTAGAGCTCTTTCTATAAATAATCCATAAAGATTCTTCCTCATTCTTTCTTATGGCATTCTACCATGTCAATGTATCTACATTTAATCAGAAAGATGAGGATACTTCAAAAAGTTCATGGAGAACAATTATAAGACAAGCTTGGCCGGCGCAGCGGCTCACTAGGCTAATCCTCTGCCTTGCGGCGCCGGCACACCGGGTTCTAGTCCCGGTCGGAGCGCCAGATTCTGTCCCGGTTGCCCCTCTTCCAGGCCAGCTCTCTGCTGTGGCCAGGGAGTGCAGTGGAGGATGACCCAAGTACTTGGGCCCTGCACCCCATGGGAGACCAGGAAAAGCACCTGGCTCCTGGCTCCTGCCATCGGATCAGCGCGGTGCGCCGGCCGCAGCGTGCCAGCCGCGGGGGCCATTGGAGGGTGAACCAACGGCAAAGGAAGACCTTTCTCTCTGTCTCTCTCTCTCACTGTCCACTGCCTGTCAAAAAAAAAAAAAAAAAAAAAAAAAAAAAAAAAGACAAGCTTATTTTGGTGCAAAAAAATGAAATCTATGCATAAAGAGGTATCTTTAAAAAGCTCATTGAAAATGTGTATTATGAAAAAGATACAGAGATTTTGAAATTTTTTTGCGTTCAAATAAACTTAAGTCCTTTTCCACAAGTGTTGAAATACCCTTGTGTGTATGTGTATGTGTGTACATATAATTTCATTCTTTTGCTCGTATAAACAGTCACTTTGCCTATGTGCTAGTGTACCTGTGTGATCAATTCCTAGACTACATCTGCTTTATCAAAGAGCTTACGTATTTGTGATTTTCAGATATTGCTCACTGACCTTCATATCTGAAATTATGTGCCTGTGCACCTAGCAAAATGGCTAGAATAAAACCAGTCATAACACTAAAACCTGACAAGGAAGTGCAAAAGCTGCAAGACCCACACAATGCTCACAGTAATGACAAATGGTTTGACGACTCAGGAAAATAGTTTGGCAGATTTTATCTTTAATAAGTAAACATGCTACTTTCATGCAACCCCGCAATTGCATTCCTGGGCATTTATTCCAGAGAAATGAAATTTAATGTTTATACAAAACCTTGTATACAAAAGTTTATGGCAACTCAACTCTAATAGCCAAAAGCTAGAAACAACCCAGATAGCATTCAAGGTGAAGGGATAAACAAACTGGGGAACATCCATATCATGCAATGCCACCCAGCAATAAAAAGAATGAACCTGTCTGACTCTTAAAAGGCCGTAAAAGGCCAAAATCTTACTTACTTTATATGATTCCATTTACACAACTTTCTTTAAATGACAAAATTATAGTAATAGAGAACATATTAGTGTCCGCCAAGAATTAAGGAGTAGGGTGGGTGGAAGGAGGTGTGGCCACACCAGGGCAGTAACAGGGATGCCGGGGTGGTTGGAGATGTTCTCTGTGGTGAATGCATCAGGTCAATTTTCTGGCTGTGATAGCGAGTTATCTTTGTATTATTTCTTATAATGCATGTGCATCTACAATGATCTCAAAAGAAAAAGCTTAACTAAAAAAAAAATCTAATGAAAATCAGATAGCATTTACAATAGCTATTTAAAAAAAAAAAAACAAAAAACTATGAAGTATTTAGGAATAAACCAGGAAGGGCCAAGACTTATGGAGGAAGAAAATAAAGCAACTTATTATCAAATTAAGGACACAGAGGACAATCTAAATAGATGGAGAGACAGTCCATGCTGCCAATCCACCCAAATTATTCTATAAATTCAGTGCAATCACAATAAAAATTTCAGCTGGGGCCGGCACTGTGGTATAGTGGATAAAGCCACCAGCTGCCATGCAGGTGCTGGTTCAAGTTTTGAATGCTCCACTTTCAATCCAGCTCCCTGCTAATGCCCCTGGGAAACCAATGGAGGATGGGCCAAGTGCTTTGGTCCCTGCACTCATGTGGGAGACCCAGAAGAAGCACCTAGTTTCTGGCTTCAGTTTGGCTCAGCTCTGTCTGTCCAGAAAGTGAACCAGCAAATGGAAGATTTCTCTCTATCTCTTCCTCTGTCTCTCTGTAACTCTGCCTTTCAAATAAACAAATAAATCTTTAATAAAGAAAATCTTGGCTGTATTTTTTTTCTAGAAACTCATGAAATATGCTCCAAAATTTATACAGAAGAATAAATGTCCTTAAAAAGTTATTATCCTTAAAACAAAAAAATGAAGGACGAGGTCCTTGTCCTATCAGACATTAACACAAACTGCATGGCCGGAGTAACAAAAATGTGTGGTACTGGCTGAAAAGCACCAAGACCCCTGGAGAACAGAGAGCCAAGACACAGAAACGTGATCTACAGCGAAGGTGGCTACAAAACAACTAGCTAAGGACTGTCAGTCAACAGTGCCAGTCAATATTCTATGGAGAAAAGAAACCTTCATACAACATTTGGTAAACATAACATAATAAGGAAGATTCTACGAAGGGTGAAAACTTAATTGTGAAAGATAAAATGAAAGAGATACTAATTAAGGAATCTTCCTGGCAAAATTGATAGGCAGCTGACAGAACTGAGAGTAGATATTTGAAATTTAGAAGTCAAAAAGGATCTGTACTATGAAAAGCATTAAAAAAAAAAGAAACTATCATTAAGAAATGGGAAGAAGTTATGAACAGGAATTTACAGTAGATGGAAACTAAAAGGCTAGCAAACTTGGAAGAATATGGAACTTAATCACAAAATACAAATTATTCAAAAGATAATTATTAGTTATTAGAGTTATTAGACTGACAAAAAAATGACAGAAACTGCTAAGTTTGGTGGGCATTTTTGAGAGCTACCTGGCAGCATTTGGCAAATTCAGTTTAGAATATCTTGTGCACTAGCAAACCGTTCGCAGACATTCTCCAAGGACATTCTCAGGTCTGTGGTGAGTATATGAGGATGTCCCTGCAGTGGTGTTTGTGGCGACCAAGAACTAGAGGCAATCTGTGTACACAACAGGAGTAGGTGTATAAAATATGATAGATGAATACCACGGAGGACAAAGAACCAGGCGAATGAACACGGGGCAACATGCATTTTAAAACCAGTGTGTTGATACTGCAAAATGAGAGCTATCCAGATACCATGTGCCTCCTGAGGGGAGAGGGCATACCACTGATGAAGGAGTCACGTAAAACAAAAACAAACCAAAAATAAAACCCGAATCAGAACAAAGCTCTGACCAACAATTTACAGGAAACAAAAAAGGCAGATAAACATATCAAACTACACAAAGAGGCAAACTACAAAATCCAGACCTTTCCCCAAGAAATAAATTACAATGAAAGAGAAGAGCGAGAGTGAGAGCGAGAGAGAGAGAGAGAGAGAGAGAGAAGTGAAACCCACAGGCTACAAGCCCTTGGGGCAATTGCAATGTGTGGACCTAATCTGGATTCTGATTCTTGGATTCTGATTCAAACTATTAAAAAAAAAGTTATGATACATCAGGAAAATTAAACATTCATTTGATATTAGCAAATTATTATTTAACAGTTTTTAGATAGGATAATGATAGTATACTTATGTTAAATAGAATCTGTATATTTTTGACATATGTTGAAATATTTCTGGGCAAAATGATTTGTCACCTAAGATTTTCTTTGTGATACAAGAAGAGGGGAAATGCATATAGCAGAGATCAAACAAGATTAGCTGCAAATTGATAATTGTTGATAATGAGTTATGGGGCTTTGTGGGGTTACATTATTCTGCTTTTGATTACTATTGTAGCATT